GGCGACGGGCCTATAATTACCAATATTGTCTGCCACCAAGCTCGGTTTTTTTTCTAATAGGCCTAATGAGTGTCTCCTTGAGGGCAAGGGGAACTTTGCCCTCCTGGAGAGACCCACTAATTATTGCTGTAGCCCATTCAGATGTTATAGGCCTGGCTCCTTTGATTAGCCAGGCTGGGCAAGGGAGGAGGTGGCGGCACAACAGCGGTCAAGCACTCTGTCCACCATATCTGACATCACAGGCTGAAAGTGGTTAAGTCTGATTGGGAAGACGGAGCGCAGGATGTCTCAGCTCGATCTACTGTTTCCAAATAGGGGGTAAGATCCTGGTGGATGGCCTCCACTTTTGATTTTTAAAAGGCTGCAAATTGGTCAGGTGAGATGCTAGAGGGAGGCCATGACCAGTTCCGGAAAGATCACAAACTATCCGGAAAATTTCCACCTGCTAATTGGAAGCTTTGCTTATCCAGACAGGGAAGTAAGATCAACTAGCAGCCTTCACCTTAGATTGGTAGAGGTTAGTCGCGATCCTGACAGCTATTCAATTATCCATCAATTTTGTGGTAAAGCAACTTCTTTATTCCTTTCTATACATATTAGTTACAGATACATGATAACATGTTGCAGAAAACAAAGCATGGGGCTGGATACATTTGTAAACCACCCTGAACCAGGCAGGCAAAACACAAAAGGAAAAAAAAAGAAAAGAAAAAAAGTGTCAAAAATGTCCTCAGACAAGTGAACTTGTCCACAAAAGCTCACATTAAAATCTAGCATTTAGTCTTTAACGTGCCACAATGCTTCTGCCTTTATTTTTTATTTGGTTTTTTTTTTTGCCTGATATTCTAGCAGCCTTTAACACAGCTGTCTCTTCTAAAACTACATCCTGAACCAGATGCTCTCCTGGATCACCATAAGGTTACTGAGGTAGGCTCACCCTTTATGAGCCTTACACCAATATAAGCGTTGTCTCTTGAGATTCTTCCTCAAATGATAATTATAAAAAAACCCAGGCAGGCAAAATTATAAAAACATTGACTGCTTTTATAGCAAATACACGTTTTAACCAAAAACCTAGGTATCTATTAAATATCAGCTCAGTATGTATGCTATTCCTAATATTGCCGGTTTTTGTAGCTCTGACGGTGTGACTTCTGAGATCTGCAACTGCTTATAGTAACTGGGTGAAATTTCTTTATTATTGTTCCCAAAGCCCCGATGACTATTCCTTATTATTATTACTTGTCAGACAGGCAGGATCTTCAGAGGTGGCTGCACCTCCACCCAACAGTACTCTTGTCAGAGACATCCTTCACGTTCTCAGAGGAACTTTTGATCTGAACAGCCTTTAATAAACATTTCTTTCCGGAAGGAGGAGAGAGACTTCCAGGCAGCCCCCAAAGCCCGACTGGGCCGGGGGAAAAGGAGAGGTTACAAGCCTCCCACCTCTCTCTCACAAACGTCTTCGGGCATTTCTGCGACGCTCCCCTTCAAAAGAGTTCGATGGAGCGGCCGCTTTCCCTCCCTCTCTCCGCCTCCTCCTGCCTTAAACCTGAGCTCCACGTGCTTCTTTCTTTAAGGGCATGGCAACCGCCGAAGCTCTTTCTCCAGTGCGCACGCGGGCCACGCAGCGCCCTCCCCTTAAAGGCAGGTATCGGCCGTTATCCGCTCCTCCCCTCCCTCCTTTAGAGGTTCCCTTGCGGGCGGGGCGGGAGTGGCCGCTGAAAGAGGGAAGAGGTGGGGGGGCGGATTAACCCTCTCATCGCCGGGCGACGGCTCTTCTCTCTTCCCCCCCCCCGTTGAGGCGACGCTGGGGGAGACAGAGCCGGGCCGGCCAGACGCCCGGTGCATTGTGGGACTGGCTGGCTGACTGACTTGGGCTTAGGAAAAGGAGGAGGAGGAGGAGGGGAGTCCCGTTCGCGGGCGGGCGAGGAGCAAGGGAAACGGTAAGGAGGGAAGCTCTGGGCGAGGGGGGGGAGAGGGAGACTTAAAGGGGAACGCGCCCCCTCCTTCGGGCCCGTAGCCGAGCGGCTAGGTGGTAGAGCTAAAATGTCCGTCTGCCTGTTTAATGGACGCGCCTGTAAAGGAGGGGAGCGCAGAGCAAGAAGGATGCCTTCGGGCCGCGGTGGCCCAAAAGAGCGGTTTAAAAAAAAAAACTGCCCGCGCCCAGCGGGGAAGGGGTTAATTTTTTCACCCGCCGACATTTTTTTTTGCTACCGCTGAGAAGGGATGGGGAAGGGGGCCCGCGAGTGCGTGCTTTCTCCCGTCTCTTCCCGCCGCCGTGTGGAAGGAATCCTGCGCGGAATCCGGGCTTCCTCCTCCTCCTCCTCCCCCCCCCAAAAAAACCCAAGAACCCTTCTTTGCCAAGCGCGGCGCGCGGCGGTTCCCGGGAACGTTCCATCGGCTTCCTCGAAAGGGTCCCGTTGCATCCTCCTCCTCCTCCGTCGTTGCCTTTAAGTTTCCCTCGGCGGCGGCGTCGCCACGAAGGGTTAAAGCCACGCTTGCTCAGACGGTCAAAAGCACAT